CTGCAGTGTGCTGTGTGTGTGTTTCCATGTGACGGTCCTTCCTAAGGCTCCTTAAACCCTTTGCAAGGCAAGCTCATTTGGGATGCTGGGAAGCATCAGTGATAGTCACCTCAGTCTGCTGAGATAATGTTTACACATTGAACACATACAAGAGTCTGAAATACACACTTTCAAACTCTTCTGGTGGACATGGCACACTGTGGCACCAAAACTCCGTTCTGTCATGTGACAGATGAGCTTTGATACGCCACAGCATTTGTAGTAGGGGCAAAATTTCCAGAAGGAGCCCTTCTTGAAATTAAAATGAAGAACGGTCACTTATCACACGTGTATGCCATTAAGGAAATCACCGTGTATTGATAGTTCATTTGACCTCTGTGAGGTTCAAGTTCTTCACCTGCAAATAAGCATAATAATAGCGGCTCCAGCCTCACCTGTGACACAAATCAGATGAAATATTACACATGATGACACCCGCTGAGCTACCCTGCAAAAATGCACATTATCCCAAGGATCCTTCTAAAGGCCTCCGTTCCCATCCTGGCATCGTATCGACATTCTGTCAGGTTCATCTAAAACATTTTTTGGTCATGAATAGCCTTGCTCAAAACTTCTGAGGGACAAGCCTCCAATAGGCATTGGATAAAATATTCATACATGAGCCCGGGAGTCGGGTCTTCCTACCATCTCCAACTTTATCCTTTCAACATTCTCCCCACCTGGACCCTCTTGTCCTGGGCAACCAGGCCAAAAGCGGTGCATTGGTCTTCTCCCAGAATCTTCGGGCTCAGTCCCTGTGCTCTCAGGACTTCCTTCTGATCTCAGGTGATCACAGTCCCTCACCCCCACCTCTGCCCACCTCCAGCCGCAACCCTATGCCATCGAGAAGACCTTATCTATCCCGTGGGCCTGAGAGAGCTCGCCCTGATCTCTCCCCGGATCACACTGCCTGTGCAGTTTACTATTTGCTATTCATGTTCACACGTTCCAGTACATTCTTTGAGACACATAAGTTCTCAACTGTAGGTCATTTTTTTTTTTACAGAATTATGAATTTTTGCTTAATAACATTTTAGGACATGTAGGAATACAGCACAACAGCTAGCTACAAGAATGTTGCAAATTTTTTCAAAGCCATTGAGTGCCTGGTACGAAAGCATAGTGGGGAGACGGGAGAGGGCTGTTGTCCTCATGGACATTCCATTTCCAAGTTAGATGGCTTTCATAAACCAACATATCCTGACTCTTTTTGGTCAGAGATTTCTGAATTCTGTTTAAAAAAAAAAAAAAAAAAAAAAAGGAGCCCTAATTAGGTAGCTCAGTTGGTTAGATCACTGTCCTGATATGCCAAGGATGTGGGTTCCATCCCTGGTCAGGGCACATAAAAGAAGCAACCAATGAATGTGTAAGTAAGCGAAACAACAAATCAACGTCTATCTGTCTGTCTGTCTGTCTCTCCCTCTCTCTCTCCTTCCCTTCCTCTCTCATCAGTAAATAAAACCATTTATTTTTAGAAAGGAGAGGGGTGGTCTGTAATTATATTTAATGGTTTTTAATTTTTAAATTTATTTCAACTTCTGTGGATTCCATTCATCAATTTAAAAAGAGGCCAGCCCAAATTTCAATTAGTTCAGTTTCTGCAAAGTTTCTAAAACATTAGCACTTGAATAGAGATAGATGATATATTGTTATAAGACTAAGACTTAAGTTGATGCTTATATACCGAAAACTACAACAGTTTAAATAATTTTAAATCATGAAGATATATAGCCTGTTTTTAACTGTCTAAATGTTCCAAAAGTCTTATATCTATAACAAAACATCATTATTCATGGTAGGCTTTAGTTATATAATAATGTATTTTAAAGCCAGAAGTGCTTTACTTATGTCAACATTTCAAAAACAGTATTTTCTATATCTAAAACATCATTCCAAGTGAGTGAATTAGTGGGTAATAAACTCATAATTAAAATTAAACATTGTTTATATGCAACATTCAAAAGACCAACTATTTAGCTCCTGACTTTTGTCAGCTCTATTATGTTTTGCTAAAATATAATTATTCAAGTACCTTTGACTGTATCTTCAAGACTAGTATTACTTAAAGGGTCTAATATATCCTGAATACTTAATACCTACAAGGAAAAGTGCTACATTAATAAGAGGGGGGAAAAGTCATAATAAATAGTAATAAAGTTATAAAGTTTCCCAAACCCATATTGCAAGGTCCCATTTAACTTGGAATAGATATCTTAGGAAGATAAATGTTACCTTTCCCAATGGCTCTGATGGAACTAAGTTTTAGACTCCTATGTTTCCCATAAATACAGTCACAATTTCTTTTGTGGAAAACAGACCTTTTTAAAAGACTCTACCAAATAACTTACCACCACATTTCTGTATTTTCTATTCCCAACTACTAATGAACTGATTCATGATTTCACTAACTGGCTAGAGATTAAATTTCCATAATACAAACTCTTGCAAAAACGACAGAAAATTCAGCATCTTCAATTGTTCAAAAACAATCTATAGAATACACTTAAGGAATTGAAATAAATTAGAAGATAATTCTTTTACATTAAAAAAAAGTAGCAAGAAAAAATTCACAAGTAGGTTCCACATATGGCTTTTACATTATAGAAATTTTCTCATTTCTTCATCAGAAGTACTAGAGAAATGTAATTCATTTACTGAGAGCTTTCTAAGTCCACTCATGGTAAGCAACTGCCCATGACTTGCCTTAAAATGATCTTACCATGAACAATGAGAATCAAAACTTCTGGTGGCTAAATCAGGTCCTACCAACCAATACACCTTCAATAGGCTAGGACTGGCAAACACCCCTTAGCCTTATGTCTGCGGTAATTCAGTTGTTCTCATGGCAGCATGTCAAGATGTCATAAATAGCAATTTATTATTTCTCTGGAGTATCAAAAAGCTGCTGACCTAAGAGAGTTTGACAAACAAAGGCCTTGTTTACAAAGGAAGACTTCTAAAGGGAAAAAAAGGGCAGGCACCACTTTTATAATTTATGAAAGTTTCCTCTTTTATGCTCTTGCTTGAATACATAATGAGCCTTTAAAAAATGAAATGTCAAAATATTAGAGCAATAGAAGAGGCATCCCAATTACCTCCAGAGAAGAATGGGGTGTGCTTTCAGGCTGGTCAGTAAAATGACTTACTTCCAACTTAATTAAAGGGAGAACGTTTTAAATAATTATTTGCCAAAGTCTTGCCTTCTAGTTACACTGTCAGAGGTATTTTAAACAGGATTCAAGTGTTAACAATATAATACAAGCTGAGGTTACTTTTGTGTGTGCGTGTCAAATTCCAAGCCTCCTGTGTTGGTCAAAGCACTTTTCAAGAAACTTGACGAGAAATGCTCAAAAAGCCACTTTAAAATGGAACAAAAGAAAAGATCTGAGGCTGCTTTGAACACACACTCGCAGGGAATATTTTCTGTGAAACGCCACAGTGCCGCTAGCCCAGAAGCTGGCCTGTAACTGCTGTCACTCAGGAGAGAAAGGCTGCATTGAAGGAAGCCTCCCTCACCTCTGCCAATTCTTCAAGTGTCCTGGTAACGCAAACTCCTAATTTATTCTACAATATTCTTCACCAACACAGCGTCTCTCTTTAATACCGCCCAGCAAGAGACAGGGGCCTCAGTCCAGAGGTGTGTTTTTTCTTTAGTCCATGCCAATAAATATTATTTGCAACCTAATGAGTATCTCCAAATCCCTTCTTTCCAGCAGCTAACATTTGAGTTGTCAGCAAGCTTTAAAAAGGAAAAGAAAGAAAAATCTAGAATAAAAAGAGGCTATTAGATTCCTAAAAGTGTGTCTCAATTTGCATAACAATGTACCACCTTGAATTCAAACCTGACACACCTCTTAACACTTTGCCACTGTGCTAGGCAGTGGGCTGGAAGCCTACCAAGTCCAGTGTGGGCAAACAAGCCTTGGGTAGTGGTCCCCCCAAATAAATGGTGGGAAATATTACCCAAAACATCTGAATGTGTCTCTGTAAGAAAACACACACACACACAACACTGGGCATGGTTTTTATTTCAGTACAACCCTCAGTGGTTTCTGAGTTGTACTGGTTGGGCAGGAATTTTCTCCACATGCAAGCAGCAATCTTTCTGCTCATACAAGCATTCTGTTCCTACAAGCATGGCATAACCAGATGTAAATAAGCCAGTCCTTTGAAATGGAAGTTTAAAATTTAACCCTGCTATTGGTAACAGGCAGAAGTGAAAAGTAACCACTCAATACAGTAGACGTGTATCCTTAATGTCTTCCTTATGCTCTCCCCTGACACATACTTGGGGAGACAGCCTGCGCACAATGACAACGATGACACGAAACAGGGGTCGCTTTGATTTTTCAAAAGCACCAGCCTCCCTCAGGTCAGGCAGGGAGGAAAAACAGGCGACAACCTTGCAAAACTCTCCCAAAAGTTACATAAACAAAGACAGGGGAGAAGCCCCAATGGGCTCTGCACCCATGTGCTACTGAAATTACATAACCACCGGTGCAGGCACTAGGAAGGAATGGATTCTGCACGACACCCCCACTTCCCTCGACTCCCCGAAGCCTGTCTCCTCCTTTTTTAAAAAATCCAAACACCTGGCAAGACCAAGTGGACAACTCTGAGTATTTATTTCACTGCTGGAGTAAAATCCTGCCCGAGTTGGAGGCACGTTTAGGCCTGAAGTTTGAACGTGCAACCAACACACGGGGAGCAGCGACTCCACTCCCAGGACCCGCAGGAGAGGAGAACTGACAGGCGACAGCGGCCGGGAAGGCCTTCTTCCCCCTCGCTGCCTCCCGCGGCAAAGTTTCCACGCCACGGGCCGCAGGGCAGGGAGCCCGTGTCCCCCGCCCGCCTGACTTTGCAGGAGAGCGAGCCAGGAGCCCGAGGAGCGGGAGCGGGCGGGGAAAGTGCTGGAAAGATCCGCACCCCGGCGGGCGGCGGCGGCGGCGCAGGCTCCTTACCTGGGGGGACGCGGAACAAACATAGGAGCCGAGCGGGGCTCGCCGAACCTGTGGCCGGGAGGGAGCCCGTGTCCGCCGGAGCCCTAGGCCCGCGGCCCAGCCCCGGCCGCCGCTCCCTCGCCCGCGCGCGTCCTGTCACGGCGGCGATCAAACATGTCCGTGTGCGCTCCGCCGCGGGGACTTCCTGCTTCCCCGCCGCCCGCGCGCGCACACTCACACCCACAGCCACAGCCACACGCACACTCACACCCACAGCCACAGCCACACGCACACTCACACCCACAGCCACAGCTACACTCACAGCCACACCCACAGCCACAGCCACACGCACACTCACAGCCACACTCACACCCTCAGCCACACGCACACTCACAGTCACACTCACAGTCACACTCACACCCACAGCCACAGCCACAGCCACACGCACACTCACACCCCAGCTACACGCACCCCCCCCCCCCCCCCGCGCCGTCTCCCCGCCCCGGCCCCGCGCGCACCCACACCCACATGCACACCCACACTCACCCCACACTCACACCCACACGCACACCCACACTCACACTCAGTCACGCGCAAACACACTCGCAGCGGCCCGAGGGGTCGGAGACGCGAGCCACGGGAGCTGGCCACCCCCCTCCAGCCCAGCCCACCCCACTTAGCTGCCCTGACAAACTTTTTTTTTCCTGCCTGACCCGCGTCCAACTTCTCTCCACCCCCACCCTCACCCCCCAGCAGCCCGGCCAGCCCGGCGCTCACCCAAACCAGCCGCACACTGCAACCCGCATAAAAATAATAATAACGCAGCCCGGAGCGCACAGCACGGGCAGGAGGCGATGTCCCCGCGGGAACCGACCGGAAACCGGCCCGGGCGCCCACATCAGGGCGCGGGTGCCTCCCCGAGCCCGCACCGCTGCGCCCGGACCGCAGGGCCCGGTGCGGGGCGCCCGGAGCGCGGGGCTCGGAGTGGCCAGGGGACTGGCGCGCCGGGCAGGCTGTTTGGGGAAGTGCATCGCGACACCTTTGCAGAAGGCATGGCCGTGTTTTGCAGGAGGGAGGCGGAGGGGGGGGGGGGGGGAGGAAGCAAAGGGGTTAACCAGGTTAGGATGGGAACAGAGCCACTGGAGAGCACAGACCCAGAAAGATGGGTGCGTGTTGCCATTGGGATTAAAGCTCCCACTGGGTCTCCCCGCCTCCCGTCCTCATCAAACCCCCGGCCACCCCCCCCCCCCCCGCCCTTCTCCCCGCTGAAGCCCTTCCCCTTCTCCAGCGAACGCCACCATCGCCACCCGGTGTGCGCGGGTCCTGCGGGTGACAGGCAGGCAGAGGAGGATTATCCGGATCATGGCCTCCGGGCCAGAAGCCACAGCGTCTCCCGGGCCCCAGAGCGCCCCCAGCACCCGGACAGTGGCGGGCGGCGACCCACGCCCGAGATCCCCGCGGCTCGGGCTGCAGGAAGACTCAAAGCAAAAGAAGACAAGCCCGGGAGGGGGGAGTGGGTAGGAAGGGGGTGAGGGAGAGCGTGGTAAGTGAGTCCCGCGGGCACCTCTGACCTCCTCAGGCGCCTCCTCCCTCCTCCCCAGCAGCGCGGCCCGGGCCAGGCGCCCCGAACTTGCACGGCCGAGCCCGCGCGGCCGCCGGGGACCAGGAGCAGAAACGCCCGCAGAGCCTCGGGCATTAGCGCCCCGGCAGCCCTTCTCCCCAGAGGCCTGCCTGCCGGTCAGCAAGGCCATCCCCGCCCGGGGAGACGCGCAAAGTGGAGGTGACACCTCGGAGCAGCCACGCACCGGCCCCGCGGCGGTGGCGGCCGCCTCTCGGGCGCGCCGGCCCGGGCAGCTCCGGCCGCTCGCCCGGGGCTCCGCAGCCTCCTCGCCTCGCCTCCGGGAAGCGGGTGGCGGCCGCTCTCCGGGCGCCGCGCCGCCGGGCCAGGCTCCGTGCCCGCCTCTCCCGCCGCACTCCCAACTCTTCCGGGGACGACTGCTCAGGGTGAGCGGGCTCCTTTCCCTTCTCTCCCCCGCGCCAACCCCCAGCCTTCCAGCCCCCTCCCGCGTACCCCCCCCCCCAACCCCCAGGCTCTTAAGGGAGCGGGGAAGGGGTGTTGCCACCTTGCCAAGTGGGTGCACTGCACCTTGACTTGGCAGCGCACCGCCGCCTGCCTGACTCAGGGTCCAGGCTGCGGTTTGCTGGGATTCCCCCTCCTCGAAGTGGTAATTATCACTGTTATTATTAGAACGGCGAGGTTCGGTTGAAAAACTTTCCCGTTTCTTCCACCGCCGCCCGGTTCTGTCGTTAGAGCATTCCACCTGAGGCCCGCGGGGAGGAGGCGGGCGGGCTTTTTTGTTGATGTTGTTGTTGTTGTTGCTGTTGCGGTGGTGGCGGTGGCGGTTGGCCCGCCTGTTTGTTGTGATCTCCTCGCATGCACAATAAATAATAATTAGGGTAATCATGAATGATCCCCGGCGCGGGAGGCGCGGGGCCGGAGGGGTTGGGGAGGCAGCGGCGGCGGCGGCGGCGGCCCGGAGGCCGCGGGGAGGGGGGAGGACAGGGGAAGGGAGTTGTAAGTTATATTTACCTTTGCTGGCGAGGAGGGTGCCGGCTGGAGCTCTTCCCTCTCTGAGTCACCCGGAGTACAGGAGCGGAGGGAGAGAGGAGAGAGGACTAGATTATGAATATGACTTCATTGATGACAGCCGTCCCCCTCCTCTTCCTAAAACTCGGGCTCCGCCCCGGGTCCCACCCTCGCCGCCTGCTCGGGCGCCGGAAGACGCGCCGCGGTTGGCCCCGCGCGCCGCCCCTCCCCGCCCGCCCCGGCGCGGGTTGGCGGACGGCGCCTGTCACTCCGGGCAGCTCGGCGACTCGGGGAGCTGGGGGGGGGGAGGATTAGGGGGGGGGGGAGAGGAGGAGGAGGGGGCGGTGTGCAAGAATGTGGCCTGAGACAGCTCTACTGTATGCGTGGATCCGTGTGTGTCTGGTGCCCGGAGCAGAGGAGCCGCGCAGGACGCGGAGAGCCCCGGCCTCGGGGGAGGTGGGCGCCCGCCCGCCCTCTCCGGGCAGCCGTCCCCTTCCCGGGGCGCTGCCGGGCACCCCGGGAGGCTGCCGGGGGACAGCGGAGGAAGGCTGCCGGAGTGATAGCGGGCAGTAGTTGGAGGTTCTGCGGAGAAGGTGCTGGAATTTAACGGTGCCTCCGCCTGCCAGGGCGAGCCTGCAGAGGGAAAGGGAGGGGAGCGGGGAAGGGCGCCGGGTGGCACCAAAGCTGTTTGTGGCACAGTGCTGACCGTGAAAAAAAGCAACAACAAAAAAAACATACATTGTCTTGCGGGCTGAAACTTTTTATCGCTCCCTCTCTCGCCAATCCTTATCTCCCCCCTTCCCCCCGCACAACCCCCAAGGCTGTAATTATAAATCTGCCCCCTTTCTCTTCCGTAGACGGGGAGGCAGGCACAAAGAACATTCCTGCCCGATGTGCCTCTTTTCGAAAGGACTTCCTTCAAGCTTCCTAAGGACTGCAAGCTTCCAAATGCCAATGGGGGTGGGGGGGTGGGGAGAGAAACAGCTGATGGGCTGGACGCCTTAAAAATAAAGAAACCCGCCCCAACCCTTCTGTTTTACTCTGTGGACCATACACACAGCACTCGGACGTCCCCTCACCTGTCATGTTCGGTAAAATACATACAAAATTTTGGAAAAACAACCCATTGGGGGCGGGGCGGGCGGGCGGGCGGGTTGGGAGGAGTCCAGCGTGGAATCTGCTTTTGATTTAAGGAGGGGAATAAATCTTTTTTCTCTCTACAGACCATAGACTCTTCTCTTCCCGCCCCACGTTTAAGACCAATTAAAGCTACAAACAGTAAACTGCTGGCACTTTGCGGTTTTGAGACCTCTTGTTCCAATTTTACTAGCAATACAGTACTTTGGCGGGAGGAATAGGTCAGTGTTTGCTGAGACAATTTTATTTTTAGTTTTATGAAGTGTGAAAGAATGTTGCGTTTTAAATCACAGGTCTATTATTTTAGACTCAGATTGATGTAGGTGCTTGACTCCTAAAATTAAAACTGCTTCTATACAATAGTGTTATGAGAGTATGATTTATCCTTTATTTTGTAATGTAATGGCTTAAATTAGTCATTCAAAGTGCACTGTGACTATTTGGTGGAGGGTTTTTCTCCCTAGAGTAAAATCCTATTTTAAGACTGCTTCACTGTTGCAAATTGACTCTATTTGAGCAATCTGGTCTGAAATGCAGTTCTAGGATGCTTAAAACTATGCGCTGGATCCCTCAAAGACGCCAGGCAATGGAAAGAACACCAAAGGCTGCATGTGGTCATAAAGTGGCAAGAACGGTTTACCTTGCTGGCCCACTGCTGGCCGAGGTAGAGTCTGCAAGGGACCATTTAAGGCAGCTAGGGGTGTCAGTGATCACCCACCCTGTCCTTTTTGCTATTGGCTTGTCAACTTTATCTTCATAATTTTCTGTCTATCCCAAAGTGAATCTCAAGACAATGAAAGATAGCACCTCTGAAAGAAATAGGATAGAGTGTGCCATGAAGAATCTTTTGTAAGAACTTTCTCTGCCTGAGGATATGCCAGTGTAACCGCTAACTGGAAAAAAAAATACAGCTGGGAATCTTAAACAAAATTAGCAATGTAGTTAAAGTATAACTCCTAACTACCTAGTAAATTGCAACCAGAAATATAGCCAGATAGCTTAGTTGTCTATAAAAGGTCTTTAACCTAACGGCAAGACTTATTGCATTAAGGTAATACTAGGTTTTAATTGGGGGCGGGGGGATAATTTGTTTCCCTGACATGCCAACCTCACATGCCATTTTTCAGAAATTGATGACTTTACCATATTTTTCTTGAAAAGAAGGTCCTTTATTCCTTTAAGACTCTACCTCTACTTGCCATGCCAAATTTCAAAAGAACAATCTTAGTAAGACACTGGAGGAAGAGATTAGCCATTTCTTCTGGCATTTTGTCAGAGGGAAATGTGTATATATATATATATATATATATATATATATATACATTTCCCTCATATATATATATATGTTCTTTGTTACATATATATTCTTCAGCTCATATAAAATGTTGATGCAGTATCTGGAAGGATGAGTATCCATGTATTATATGCACAACTGTGGGAACTGAGAAATAAAATCTGTCATTGGGAGCAGAGATTAAATAACAGATATTCCATCTCCTACTCCCTTCACATTGGTCTAAGAAAGCACCCCCTTCTCCCTTCAGGTCTTTCCTCTGAAGAATTTTCTTGTGTGTAGCTTGCAATGCATCAAGTATGAATTTTATAAAATAAGATTTATGCTCGGGAGAAATGAAAAGGCAGCACCATCCGCTCGGCACAAAAAGAAGATTGTAGAACATACAGCATGAGCTTCCCATCTGCGGTAAAGCAAAATTTAAGAACTGACGTTAAGGAGAAAAATGATGGGGTTCTGTTGTTTTGCAGAAAATCACATGAAAGCAAATATAGTTGGAGGCTAAAAGGACTCTGGGAGGCTGCACAGGATGCTATATTCACATGAAGCTTTGCCTTTAGGACTTTGATGAGTCGTAATGTGTTCTCTGAACTTGCTTCTTCTCTCTCTAGTTTAGTATCAAGGGATAGAAGTCACCTTTTCATGTTTGTATGGCCACATTCACTGGTTATGCAAGCCTGCCATGGTTGATGCTCTCTATAGAGTAGATTTTGGGGTTGAAAACTGATATGTAGTTACAACGCCCTCATAAAGAATATGACCATGCACAGAGTTAGGCAGCTTCTCGTCTCACCAGGCAGACTGTCGATGCTGACAGAAATGTTGTCCCGCTTCAAACAGGAGCAAGGCCGAAGACCATAAGGAATGAGTTTTTTATCTGCAGTAATGGAAACTAGACTTTGACAAAGTGAATCAGCCAACATTTAATTTAGTGAAAGCCCGTGACTGGGTAGGTCAGTTGGTTAGAGTGTCACCCCAATATCTGAAGGTTGTGGGTTTGATCCCAGGAAGGGAACATAAAAAAATCAACCAATGAATGTATAAATAAGTGAAACAACAAATCCATGTTTCTCTCCCCCACTTCCTCTCTCTCTAAAATAAATAAATTTTTAAAATATTATTTTTCATTTCTTATTATAGCCTTTGTTTTAAAGTATTTTTTTTTTGCTTGTTATAAGTATTGCTATCCCAGCTTTTTCCCCCCATTTTCATTTTCATTAAATATTTTTTTTTCATCCCTTTCCTTTCAGTCTTTGTATTTTGTTCTGAGGTGGGTCTCTTTTAGATAGCATTTATATGGGTCTTATTTTCTTATCCATTTAGCTACCATATGTCTTTTGATTGGAGTGTTAATCCTTTACACTTAAAGTAATTATTAATACTTACATATGTATTCCATTTTATTCTTTATAACTATGTTCCTCTGTGTTTTCTATTCCTTTCTTATTTTTTAAAAAAATCCCTTTTAGCCAAAACCAGTTTGGCTCAGCGGTAGCATCGGTCTGAGGAATTAAGGTCCCAGGTTCGATTCCAGTCAAGGGCATGTACCTTGGTTGTGGGCATATCCCCGGTAGGGGGTGTGCAAGAGGCAGCTGGTCGATGTTTCTCTCTCATCGACATTTCTAGCTCTTCATCGCTCTCCCTTCCTCTCTGTAAAAAAATCAATAAAAATACATTTTTTAAAAAATCCCTTTTATATTTCTTGCAATAATGGTTGGGTGGTAATAAACTATTTTTTCTTTATTTTATTTTTAAATATATTTTTATTGATTTCAGAGAGTAAGGGAAAGGAGAGGTAGAGAGAGATAGAAACATCAATGATGAAACAGAATCATTGATCGGCTGTCTCCTGCACAACCCCTACTGGGGACTGAACCCACAACCTGGGCATGTGCCCTGACTGGGAATCGAACACATGACCTCCTGGTTCATAGGCTGATGCTCAACCACTGAACTATGCTAGTCAGGCTCACTTTCCATTTTATTTATTTATTTATTTATTTTTAATATATTTTATTGATTTTTTTTTGCCCCCCTCCTTCCCATACATACCCTCCCTCCCCAGAGTTTTATGTCCATTGGTTGTACTTATATGCATGTATACAAGTCCTTCGGTTGATCTATTATCTCCCCCAAATCTCCCTCCCCTCCCTGCTGTAATTTGACAGTATGCTTGTTACTTTACTGTCTCTATATCTATCTTTTGGTTCATCAGTTTATAATGTTCGTTATTATCCATAAATGGGTGAGGTCATGTGGTGTTTCTCTTTCATTGATTGGCTTATTTCACTCAGCATGATGTTCTCCAATTCCATCCATGCTGCTGCAGATGATGAGAATTCCTTCTTTTTATGGCAGCATAGTATTCCATTGTGTAGATGTACCATTGTTTTTGGATCCAATCATCTGCTGATGGGCACCTAGGCTGTTTCCAAATTCTGGCTATTGTAGATTGTGCTGCTATGAACATAGGGGTGCATATATCCTTTCTGATTGGTGTTTCTAGTTTCTTGGGATATATTTCTAGGAGTGGGATTACTGGGTCAAATGGGAGTTCCATTTTCAGTTTTTTGAGGAAACTCCACACTGTTCTCCACAGTGGTTGCACCAGTCTGCATTCCCACCAGCAGTGCACGAGGGTTCCTTTTTCTCCACAATCTCGCCAACAGTTGTCGTTTGTTGATTTGTTGATGTTGGCCGTTCTGACAGGTGTGAGAAGGTACCGCATTGTTGTTTTGATTTGCATCTCTCAGATAATTAGTGACTTTGAGCATGTTTTCATGTGTCTTTTGGCCTTACTTCTGTCTTCTTTTGAAAATATTCTATTTAGGTCCATTGCCCATTTTTTAATTGGATCATTCATCTTCCTTTTATTTAGTTGTATAAGCTGTCTGTAGATGTTGGAGATTAAACCTTTATCAGTGGTAACATTTGCAAATATGTTCTCCCAGACTGTGGGCTTTCTTGTTCTTTTGTTGATGGTTTCTTTTGCCGTAAAAAAGCTTTTTTATTTTGATGTACAGTGGTGCCTCGCATAAAGAACGCCTCGCACAGCGAACGCTGCACACAACGAACTTCGTTTCATGATTCATACAACGAACTTCGTTTCACACAACAAAGTCGCCCGAGCTTCCACGACCGCTTTGCCCGAGCTTCCACGACTGCTTCGCCCGAGCTTCCACGATCGCTGCCGATGTATTGCATCCTTCCCCGCAGGCACTGCAGGCAGTCGTTAGTCACTGCGCTTAACTTAAGCACGTATCGCGGCAATCGTTCTTCATTACGAATTAAATCACGCACGTATGTATCACAGCAGTCGTCCTTTTAAGTTAAACTCAATATTTTTTTTATATCATGGCTTCTAAAAAAAGCAGGAAGGTGATTTCTGTTGAAATGAAACAGGAAATAATTAGAAGGAGTGAATGTGGGGTAAAACAGTGTGACCTCGTCAAAGAGTTTGGCCTCAGCAAGACCACCATTTTCACCATTTTGACAAATAAGGATGCAATCAAATCAGCCAAAGTAGCCAAAGGAGTATCAAAACTATTTCATGAAAAACATAGGTCTTCAA